GCTAGTGTAGCAGGCGAGTGGGTGTGCCTGTCACTGTCTGTAGTGGAGCTGTGGTGAAGGCTAGAACCGAGAGCCCCTTGGGTATTTGCTGGGTGCTTGACAGTGAGTGGCAGGCGATGCTGATGTGCTGGCTGATGGAGGAGATGGACTTCCGGTTACCAGCTCCGTCTGGTTACTGTCAGCTCTGTGTTATAGATAGTGTCCGATGCGTGATGGTGGCTATTTTTAGGATTGAATGAGAAAGTTTTGAGGCTTTTCTTCTCTGCTTGACATTTTCTAGTTTTCTTGAATGTATTGCATTTCCTTTATGCCTTCCATCTAACCTCTGATGCTGACATATTTCTAAAAAAAAAACCCCAAAAAACCAAAAAGCTAACTTGTTTTAAGGAAAACTAGAGGGCTGTAAAGAATAGGGATTTCAGGGATATAAAAATTTTTATGGTTAAAAATATACATTATTTTCTGTTGAGACAGAGAACAGATAATATAAGTACTTTAAAGTTGGTTCCCACCTTTTTGTATAAAATTTTTATCTGTACCAAAGAAATTTGAAAAGAAAGCAAGAGAATAGTGGAGTTAATGGTATGCTAACCAGAAGGTTATATTAGTCTTTGAGTTCATCTTTTGGTCTGGCGTGTGTGTGAGCACATATGTATGCTTATGTTTGTATGTGTGTGTTTTTCACTGCAGTAGGTTTACAAATCATTACATTTTGAATTTCAAAGGGAAAAAGTTCAAGTTGAATGTTATCAAAAGAAAACATGAATATATAATTTAATAAATGAACATGATGCAAATAGACCGTGGCTAATTTTATTTGGGAAATATAGAAAATCTAGTTCAGAAACTTAATTTTTTGTTTTAATAAAGCTATTATTCATTAATACTGTTTTTTATGCATTGCATAACACATTTTTATAGTTAAATGTGACTGCTTTAGAGCCTAATGCTGTCTGCAGTAGGCATGCCCAGTGTCCCGTGGGAGGAATTGGTCAGGTGCGATTCTGAGCAAGTGTTCCCACCCATGCCGTGTCAGGCTGTAACTATGCCAGGGACAGCTCCTCCTTTCACCTCGGTGAGCAGAGTCCGCAAGGCAGCTGCAGTGCCCCGTCAGTGAAGTCAGAAAGCTCAGTGTGTTGGCACAGGAGAAGCAGAAGGTTTGTCACAGGGAGCTAACAGACTTGGGGGTTTCCCAGGCCACCACCAAGTTCTTCCAGAGACCTATCGGAGAGTGGTATTGTGATATGTTGGGTAGATTTTCCAAGTATTTAAAATTACAGTAGAAATTCAAAGCACTTAAAAATCTTGCACATAGGTGATTCTGTTTTTTAAAAAAACTAACACGTAGGGGGACCATAGTAGTGAGCAGGACAGAAGCAAGTGAACATTAAGTTGGTGAAATGAGATTTGGGAGCATACATTATTAGAGCTGGCAGATCCTGCTCTTCAGACAAGTGCTGGTGTGTATAAGAAGAAAGAGAAATTATACTTTACATTTTGTTAGCAAATACAGATAGGGTACCCTCCCTGTACCTGCCACTGTTGATTATATACAAAGCCCCTGTGGAGGATTTATAGCTAATGCCCTATAGAAGGTCATAGTGTAGTTTGTTAATTCTGTCTGTGCCTGTGTATGTGAATGTGTGTGATCTTAATGTTCATTCAAGTAAAATGCTACCGCATCAGTAAAGTAACAGTGATTTTCTTGGTATTGGAATGGATATACTGCTTTTTACTTAATTTGGGTTATGAAAATATTTGCATACCAATAAGGCCTTAAAAATATAATTCTTTAAATGGCCTTTTTGTGTGTGTGATTGACTTATTCTCAGAATCGTGGTCTTAAGAGAAACCGTAAAGTGGACGCTTAGATTAGAAAAGTGTTTCATGTAACTTTTTTATATATTGTCTTTTAATTCACAGGGTAAAACTTGAATTCACTTCATCCTGTAGGTCTTGCTTTTGGCCTTACCCCTGTGTATACAGCGATGTCCCTTTCTCACAGGAGTCAGAAGATCGTAGCTCCCTGTGTATGCCCTTTACTCCTGCGTTCAACCTAGAGAGTCCTCGCAAACTTGCTCAGCCAAACATTCCACCCAATTGATTCCCTCGTTTTCTGACTATCTCTAGTAGAATTACTTGCAATATAGGGATTGGAACTCCGATGGTTGTTGAGAATGAATGGAAGCGTACAGCACATAGGCGATGTAAAAAAAATAGATATGTGTACAACATGTGATGTGTTGTCTTACCTTAATTGACACACACAGCTTTGATCTTTCTGCTTATTTTAAGTTGCATAATGTTAAGGTAATTTCACCACTTACCACTTTATTATGAGTCACAGCACGTGGAGTCCTGGTTTGCTTGTTTCGTAGTTCTCAGATCAGCTGGTCTCCTGGACTGGTCTGAAGCAGCTCTTAGGGAGCAGGCTCTTTCCTTCAGCCGGACCTTCCCAAGGGAGCTCCGGGTCACAGCCGCTCTGCCTCCCGTCAGGCTCTGGATCGTCCCCGCAAATAACTCGGCCCTTCCCTGTCTTAGTTCCCAGCTAAGTGAGGTTCCACATGTTACACATTCAGTGTTCATAAATAAACTAGATTGCTTTGCACCTGTAATGGGTGTTAATTGATTTGTATGGGCTTCAGTGGCTTGTGTTCGGTGTAAGTTTTAATGACTTGCAACCTGTGTGACTCACTTTGAAGTGCACTTAACCTTCACTGTGTATCCTTTGGATTCTTGCCTTAATGTTTATGCTCTACAAATTGAGATTTTCTCTTTGTTAAAAAGCCAGTATGAATAACTTCACTAAGAAAAACTTGGATATTAAAAAAAGAATTTCTACTACTAGAAGAAGATACTCATTGATTCCTTATTTGAAATTGGGAAGAATGGGGGCCAGGGATTTAGCTCAGTGGTTCTGCCTCCTGCCTTGCAAACACAAGGGCCAGAGTTTGATCCCTGGTGCCCCCCCCCACAAAAGTTGCAAAGCATGGGAAGCTACTAACTTCTAATAAATGTTAATAGTTTAAATAATTTTAATAAAGGATAAAATACTTATTTAATGACATTGTGTCCTTTAAAATGATAATTAAAAGAAATGCATGTACATCAATAAAACAGCAATATTATATATGCTGATTTTATAAAATGCATATGGAAAAATTGGAAAGATAATATAAATTTGTGTTAATATGGTAATGGGATAATTTCCTCTTATAATTTTAAATTTGTGAGAATTTCAAAACTTGAAAATTGAGCTGTGAAGAGCTTGATGATTCTTTGCTTTTTTTCCTCCTCCTTGTTGGCCTTATGTTTGTCGTAATTAGTCAGCTTTCTGGCATGGATGTGATCCCCCCCCTTCTTGAACAAAACCTGAAGCTCTAAGTTGTCACCTTATTGAGCAGTGCTTTCTTCACGTCATTGTCAGACATTAGATTTGTGTAGGATGGTGTTAGAGCACACTCAGAAAATCATTTTGAAGTAACTTCACTATTAAGGAAAAGAGTAGAGGAAAGAATATTATTGGCAGAGAGCAACATCTGTGTGCACCAGATTTTTAGTAGTAATAGAGGTAGTGGGACACTGAAAGAAGAGAGTGAAGAATAAGAAGCTAGGAAGAGAAGAATTCAGAAAACACTAAACTAGGATTTTTTCAAACCCCTCTGGCCCGGGATGCCTGAAGAAAAACCGAAAAGTCTGTGCACAGATCCACTGTGTACATGAGAACTTCATTGTAACAATGAGTTTTACAAATATTTAGGCGTACTGATCAAACCACGTGTCTTCATAGGAAACCCTGGTTTTGCCCCTTGAACAAAGCCTTTTTTTAATGGAAATGAGTGCTGTGGAATGCACGCTTTTGTAAATGCCTTTGCTAGCAGTTTATGTCTGAATAAAGTAGGTTTTATATCTTTATCTAAAACTTCCTGTGTGTGTGCTGGGGCTCTAACCCAGGGCCTCATATGTAAGCTAGGCAAGTGCTTTAACTCTGAGCAACAGCCCCAGCCAGGCCTCTGGGTTTTTTAAACAATTAAACATTTCATTAAAATGAACAAAAGTGCACTGATGCTGTTATGGTTGTTGGAGGCATAAATGATTTTGAGAGGAAGGATATTGAGGCATTTAGGGCTTTGAAATAAGCAGGTCTAGAGAGCCATAGATCCTTAATTTGGTTAATGATGCTGGTAAGAATGAAAAGCTTTCACTTCTCCAGAGTTTAAAAGTATCTTAAGTACTGCTGAAGTAGAATTCCATATTGAATCACATCAGTAAAAACAAACAGTATCGCTAAGGATTTAAAGGAATCCTTTAAGGTCAGTCTTCTTAGCTCCCTACCCCCTTCTTTTGTTAGACTGGCATGTTTGTGTTGCTGTCTCCCTTTAAATAGTTGGGTGTGCGTGCTCAGTTACTTTTTCTATTAATAGAAGTTAGGTCTTTTTTTTTTTTTTTTTTAATGTTTTGCTTAGTTCCCAATTTCATCTGGAATGATTATAACATTCCCCTGCCTCCCTCCCAACCTCATTTGAATTGCAGAGTCAGCACTGAAAATGACCTTCATATTTGGATTTTGGTTGGCATCAGTCACCCAGCGTACTTTAATTGAATAACTACTATTGGCCAAAGTGCTGAGTTAGGGGCAAATACAAAGAGAAACGGTCCTTGCTCTCCCAGCCTTTGATTTATTTATAGGAAAGAACTTCAGAGATACATTGTTATGATATATGATAAATGCTCTGGTTAGGTAAGTGCTAAGGATTATGGGAGTAGAGGAGGTAGTGGGCTGCCTATTTTGGTTTACCTAACTGCTGACATTTACTGATTTAGGTCTTTTAAAATTGTGTGAAGATGACTGTAATTTGGTATCTTAAAAAATCTTTCAATGAAATTGAAAATTTTTCAAGATTTTTTTTTAATTTTGAAAAGAAAGCAGAATTCACAGTTTTGTTTAAAATCTGTAAGATGTGGTTAGTTTAAAAGTTCCCACTGTCTCTGTAATGCAGAATGATATGGAGCCTAGCAAAGCTGTTCCACTGAATGCATCCAAACAAGATGGACCCATGCCAAAACCGCACAGTGTTTCACTCAGTGATACCGAGACGCGGAAGCTCATGGAAGAGTGTAAAAGACTTCAGGGAGAAATGATGAAGCTGTCAGAAGAAAATCGACACCTGAGAGTAAGTTCTGCTGGTGGACACTGAGGTGGTTGGAATGAAGGTGGAAGACATGCATTATTAGGCCACTTTGTGAGTGTTTCTACTGCTTCTCCATGGTTAGCTCTTTCTCCCCTGTCCCAGTTTGATTGTATCCTGGCCTCTGCCCCCTGTCCCATCCTCCTTGCCAGTCTTACTGTTGCTTCTAGTGGCCTCCAGAGTTCTCTGCTTGGCAGACATCCTAAAGAATTTGTGGAGTGGCCTTTGACACTGCTAACTTCCTTTCTGCTCTCCTTTATGTTCCATGTCCCAGTCACAGTGGCCTAAGACTGTGCTGTCTCTTAGTGTCACAAGTCTGTGGAGCTATTGAGCACTTGAAAAATGGTTAGTTCAAATTGAGGTGTGTTGTGAGTGTGAAATACACACCAGAGTTGGAGATTTAGTACATGTCTAAATCATACGTTGTGTATACTGGGTTGAATACGTATATTATAATTAATTTTGCCAACTTACTTTTACTCATTTAGTTTGCTATTAAAAGTGTAGCATCATACATGTGGCACGCATTTGCTGCCCATGCGTTGTACTGTGCTGGACTGGAGTACCTGAGAAGCAGCTCCTGTGTCACTCTTGGTTCAGCATGAGCTCTCCATATTGTACCTCCAAGGCCCTAGACCTTTTCTACACCTCACACAGTGCACAAACTTTTCACTACCTAATTCTTGTCATTTTATTTTTTTCTCAGTGTAGTCTTCTCTCCCTTCAAAACAAAAAAATTGCCTCGGACCGTTGTTCCTTTGTGTTCGTGCTGTGTCTGCTACTTCTTCCTGCTCTTCCTGTTAGACGGGTCTCTCCCTGGAGTGTGCAGTCTTTGGGCAGGGCTTCACTGTCTGCATCCCCAGCACGGGCACAGAGCAGTGACTCACATGTTTGGGTGAACAGTGGACACACAGACTGTTGGAGGGACTGACGCGAATATATTTGAGGTTTCGGCGTAATTTGCTAGTAACAAGTAATTACTTGGTTCAGTGCCTGAGTACTTTTACATTCATTACCTTTTAGACTTTAAAGCGCTTCACTTCTTCTAGGCTGTGCCTCTGAATCACCCAGCGAGTTTCTAAAAGCCCAGATGACTAGGTCCTGCCCAGATCCAGAGATTCAGAGTCACCAGAGATATTTTTAAAGTTCTAAAGGTGTTTGTAATGTGTAGCTGGGGCTGAGAATCATTACTCTTTTTATCTGGAATTAATAATTAGCATAAGAACCCCCCAAAAGAACCCAATTCCAAAAAATACAATGCAAATAAAATAGTATGATGTTACATCACTCTGGTGTATTCTTTTCACATACTCCATGAAATACTTTCCTCATAAGCTCCTCCTAAGTTCAAAATATTGCTGTGTTAAACATGCAGTGGTACCTCATTTCAGGGACTCAATTGTCTCCATGATTCTGGTCGCAGACTGAACTGGAAGAGAACTGAATGAATCACATTTTCTATAAGGTCGACAGTGACCCTGAACATTGACTTTGACTCTGTTCTCGTCCAGCTTGGTTTGTGATCGGAATCAAATTTGTGAACCGTGGAGTCACTGTATCTTCAGTACACCTCAGCTACCACGCACCCTCCTTAGCACAGCATGTTGTAAAATAGTGTCCCTCGTTCTGGGGTGGCTGGCTGTGAGCCACCTAGCATCTCCAGCGGGGATCAGACTGCATGTGCTAGGCTGGAGAAAGGTCACAGTTCAAGCCCCAGTGAGTTGAACTCCATGAAGTTGGGGTCTGTCTGTATAGGTAAACATAGAGGAATCATGTGAAATAAGACTGACGCCCTGTATTGAGGAAGTAAAACTGTCCTGCTGTAGTCGGGCTGGTGACGGGGATGAGGCCAGCTGCATAGTTCACTGTATCAGTCAGTATCTCCCTGTTCACTTTCCTCTGGGGTCCTGACCCACTTTGGGTGACTGCCCCTTTCCTGTGGGAAACCAAGTCTCCTGCTAAGCTAGCATTTCAGAAACTTGCTGTGTGAGACCCTTTCAGGACGGAGGGAGTGACCCACCCTTACCTGGAGGCTCTGAGTCACTTTGATGCAGAGAAGCAGGCTCAGTTCCCAGTCCAGGCAAGAACTTCAGATAGGGGTCCTGTTGTGTGGCAGTCTACACCCATCTTAATTTGTAGCTTTTAGAGAAATAGGATTCTGTGTGGTTTTTGTAGTCCAGACTTGGTTCAAATCCTTACACACACATTCTTCCCTGCTCTGCTTTACAGGATATCAAGACATGCATTATTTAGAGTTCCCCAAAACCCCTTCCCCCAAACCCTGTAATATCTCTTCTGATGAGTATGCCCCGTGCTTGTTCCGTGCGGGTTTCTGAGTTGTAGGGTCAGCAAACCCATCAGACTAGAGTTTCTTCCTGGTTCTCTAGGATGGGTATAACCAGTTTGAAATACCACAGGCCATCTCAGAAACGAATCCATGCACAGGATTAGTATTTTAGGATGTATTTCTCAGTGGACAGTGTAGTGATTGTTAGGGATGGGATGGGGCAGCCGTCACTGCAGCCTGTGTTAAGAGTGTCTCTGTCCCTTCAGAGAGCCCCTCAGTGGGCTGGCCCCTAATCCTTGCTCCCACCCTGCTGCTTGCTTCCCTGCAGTCCTGTAGTGTCAGTGTGTGGATGCATATTAGTGTTTGAAATCTCTCTCTGCATTTTCCCCTAGGAGGAAGGCTTAAGGCTCAGGAAGGTAGCGCATTCGGAGAAGCCTGGCTCGCCCTCGGCCGTGTCCTTCAGAGACAACGTCACCAGTCCTCTCCCCTCACTCCTTGTTGTGATCGCAGCCATCTTCATCGGGTTCTTTCTAGGGAAGTTCATCTTGTAGAGTGAAGCATGCAGAGTGCTATTCCTTTTTTTTTTTTCTCTTGACCAGAAAAAGATTTGTTTACCTACCATTTCACTGGTAGTATGGCCCGCAGTGACCATTTTTTGTGTGTACAGCGTCAATACAGGCCTTGCCTCTAATGATCTTTTACGGTTAGAAAACACAGTAAAAATTCGGCTGCTGGACAGGTTGTCTTATCACCAAGTCATCACTAGCAGGTGTCAGTGGCGCACTCAGTCCTTCATGAAATTCATAATAAAGAGTTGTTTTCTTTGTGGTTTTAATAAGAGTTCAAGAATTGTTCAGAGTCTTGTAAATGTTATTTTAATAATCCCTTTAAATTTTATCTGTTGCTGTTACCTCTTGAAATATGATTTAGATTGCTAATATCACTCATTCAGGAAATGCCAAGAGGTGTTCTGTGGGGAAATGGTGCCTCTTACTGTGTACATTTTCTCCTTTACCTTTGCTAATATCATGGCGGAATTTTTCTTACCCTTGTGAGGCAACTGTTCGCTGACAAATCCTGTCCCATGGTATTTAACATAAAAAAAATAAAACTGTTACCAGATTCTTGCTCGATAGCTTGATTGTGTCTGTGGTGTCATTAGAGCGGGTGGCAGAAAGCCTTACGGGGTGGTGTTTGAAATTTATAGTGCATAATTTAGTATTGAAACTCTTCCTTATAGGTAGTACAGTATTTATAATTAAAAGTACTCATTCTGTTAAGGAAATTCATTGATTAAAATTTTAACTTGCTTTTGGAAAATCATAATTGGTTTGTTTTCAAGAAATACAAGCAAATGGCATGAAAATAAAAGTGCTACAATTTTGGTGTCTTTATGTGTGTCACAAGGCCATTTGATAACCCCCCAACTATTTTTTTTGGTACCGGGAATCGAACTCAGGTCATTGCGCTTGCAAGGCAGGCGGCAGAACCACTGAGCTAAATCCCCAGCCCAAACCCCATTCTTTATCAGGTTCTTTTGGAGTCTTCACAGAAGACTTATTCTCCTGATTTTCAAGTATTTACCCAGCCTAGTAATTCTTACTATGTTATACATTTCATAATAGTTAAAAGTAGGTGTTTTTTCCTGCCCAAGTTGACACTCATATTTTCATTATGGGAATTCTGTGTTAGCAAGCCTTGGGCCTTTTGTGTGTGTGTGTGTGTGTGTGTGTGTGGAAAGTGACCTTTTCCTTTTCAAACCTGTTAAGCACATGAGACACATTTTCCATGTGAATATTCCTTGTGGGGGCTGATACTTTCCTGTACTTAGTCTTCTGTCTTCATTTACTGTAACTCATATTGGGTTGGAAAGTTTGGAACCAGAGAACGTAACTGAGTGCATTCTCATACAATTGAATTTTTATGCTTGGAAATTAGTGTTGGTTTTTGAGATTCCATGTGGTGCAATGAAGTGTGGTAGCTTGGATCTGCGTACATATCTTACAGAAAAGTAAAATGTTCTAAAGTAATTTGGTTGTTTCCATTTCATACGTGTTTTGAGTTTGTTAGATCACATGTACTGTGTTCTTGTGCTCTTGATATCTTTTATAAAACCCTTCCTTGTGATCAAAAGTTACTAAATAATACCTAGCCATTACTAGCATGCTGCTGCTGGTAATATTTCCGTTGCTGTATGATTTACTGTTACTGTAAACCCCTTCTTTTTCTGATAACTGGAAAAGCATGCTAAAAAAGTCTTATATTTTCATCCCAAACACACACTCAGTAATTAGTTGGCCTGAAGCTCTCTATGTAACTGACATCATTGATGATAAGTATCAAGCTTGATATTTTCATAAATACATTTAAAAAGGTTTTCAGTTATCAAAATTTAACAAAATCCCGTTTTATGGGAGTGCTCCTTAGAATTCATTTTGCTCAGCCCCTTGGTAGTTGAGGAATCTGAGGCCTTCTGAGGGTTGGAGAGGACTTGCCCTTGTCCCACAGGTGGGTAGAGACAGCTGGCATTAGCAGTATGACTCCTGACTCTGGCTCTGTCCTCCCTGGTGACTTCGTAGGAAAGGAATTGTCATCATTTGAAAGATAGCTGAAATAGTGAACGTAAGATGCTATTTAATGAGTGGTTGTGAGATTTTTCTGTCATTAAGACCGTATTTACAGGCCTGCTGTGTCTCATGTGTACCTTAGTGTTTAGGCTAGCGGTGCCTCTCACATGGGCCATAAACATTACAGTTTATTTTTAGGAGGCATTTTGAGAAAAACTGTAGTCTGCGTTAGCATCTTCAGAAGTAAATGTGGATTTCTTAACTGTGTATCAGCGGATGCTCTGATTGTTTAGGACTGTTTAATAGTTCTATGAAATGTGATCAGGTTATTTTACTACCAATACTTACACTTTCAGAAGAGTCCGGCTGTACTGACTGATTGATGATATATAAATTGTTCTTCGTGTGTTTAGAAATGTTTTGCTTTGTCGATCTGCTTACTGATGGAAGTAAGCATGGGGGGTTACTGTTGTTAGCACTGAAATTACAATCAAGTAACAAAGGCCTTAAGTTCACGTGTGATGCTAAATACACTACTTTCCTTCATTATTTCTAGAACTAATGTACCTTAACTTTGCCTGTTCTTGTATTTACAAGAAGCAAATTTAAGAATTGTGTTCTGAGTGTGTGGAATATTATCTTCAAAGGAAAGAAGAGAAATGACACTTGGAGAAAAATATCTGATTCAGAAATTCTGGTCAAAGAAATAATAGTTAATTTTTCTTTGAAGTGTCTTTGCTGAAAAGTTCTGAAATTGCTATTACAGTATATGATAAGGGAATACTTTGGGCTGTGCTCTCTGAGAATATGATACTGCTTTGAAAAAGAATTGTAACACTTGTTAAAAATAAAAACCGATCTTAACAGAGTATGTGTCCACATTGTGATAAGCCACTTTAGAAACCCTTCAGTGATCGTTTCCATAGAGCTGTGCACATTCCTATCACTGACTTTAGTGTGTGCATAGATTTCAAACATTGACCTTTAGGAGGGTTAGGGAAAGAGCAATGCTTAATACTATGGAAAAACAAAATCAAGATAAATAAGCGATCTTATTTTCTAGCTTTCAAGGGGAATTAAACTATTGTGAGTAAATAAACTGTTTGAAAATATGGTGAAGTGTCATTTTCCTTTCCACAATAAAAACAAAAATTTTATTTCAACACACTGATGGCTGGTACATTCCTGTTGTTAGGCATCAGTAGCTAGTTGTCCCGATGGCAGAGACATCTTCTCAGGACACAGGGCTGCTGGGCCGGCACCTCCACCCTGGCAGCCTGTGTGGGAGGGGATTTGCCTGGGCTCTGTGTGGGCAGTGACTGGGGGCCTGGCACACAGGCTGTGGCAGCAAAGGGTGAGCATGCTCTGCCCTGGCCTCTGCTTCTGAGGGCAGAGTGGGATTTTATGCAGTGTGGAAAGTAAATTGTAAGAAGGACCACATCATGGATTCATTTTTATGAATATGTATTACCTTAAGATGTTTATGCACTTAAAGCAAAATCATAAGTTATGTACAGTGTTCTATTGTCATTTTCACTTTAATCATTCTCTGGTTCGTTGAAAATCAAGGTCAGTGGTGGCAGAAATAATTGGCTTTCACAGTTGCTTCTTGCTGAAGGTGATGGGCGTTTTGTTAGGTCACCTGGCTGGCCTGGCCTCCAGGGAACGCCCTGTTAGTCACACACACCTCCGCTAGCACATTGCCTTTCTTCAGAAATTTGTTCTCCACCTGTTCTTGTTCTTGTAACACCTAAGATTCTATATCTCCAACACAGGGAAACTAAGGTAATGTATTTTTCTTTTTAAAACCATTGGGAACCATGTTTAGTTATTGGCTTAATGCAAAAGCCATCTTTATAAAGTTATGTTTTTAATATGCAAATAGCTGTCTGGAAAACTAAAAAGCAGTTTGAGGAATTTTATGTGCTTTAGTTTTAGTTACCACTTTGGCACTGTCCACCTAGAATCTATTTTGCCTGTCATTTATTTCTCAGCACTTAAGGTAGTTTTTGATGATAATACAATTTTTAATCTCTTTCAGGTATATTTTTATATTAATCCACAGATTTTAGGAGATGGAATTGGGACCCTGGAAATGGAGCGCAGGGCCTTTGCACTGAGCTACATCCGTAGTCCTTTTTTAATTTTGAAACAGCGTCTTGGTAAATGGCTGAGTTGCCCAGGCTTCAGCCTCCTAAGGTCCTGGGGATTAGACCTACGAGTGGTGCTCTGCCACTGAGCTACATCCCCACCTGGTTTTGTTTTGAGACAAGGTCTCTTAAGTTACCCAGACAGGCCTCAAGCTTGCTATCCTAGTGGCTGGGAGAAAGGTGGGTGCTGCCATACCCAGCCAGGGGACAGATGCTTTACGGGTGGCAGAAAAGAAGATGGACTGTATAGAGTATTACTTCCTCCCCTTTGCTTTGATTTTGTTTTCCTTACTTTTCCCTGGGAAGCATCTTATTTTTGTTACTTGCTTTAGATCTTCTCTTTCAGGGTGCAAAGCCCAGCAAAGTAACCGGAGCCCGCTTCAGTCCTTTCCCAACCCTGACCTGCGCTGTGTCTTGCCCGAGTGTCAGCACTTCGCTGCACGTGTATGGGTTATAACCAGCATGTAGTGCGCCCTGCGGATTTGGGAGGCTGCAGGTGTCCTTTGCTCAGAATGACACCTGCCGTGTACCCAGATCCCCGGTTCTGAGAGGGGCGTCTCGTGCCAGTGAAAGTGCCGTTTTCTGCCATGCTGTGCCAAGGCGGACCCTCTGGCGATGCTTCCTGTTGCCATCTGCCAAGGGTGGGCCCTGCAGAGGCCCGCATGCTGCTGAAGTCTCTTGGTCTGATGCCACCTCCTGCAACCTGTGCACGGATGGTGTGGGCACCACGCTGGACAGCTCAGCTCTCCTGTTGCTGGACCCTGTGGTGGCTGGCCGTCGGAGATGAAGACATGAAGGACAGTGGGTGGACTGGACTGTCCTGGAAGCCATCTGCTGACGTGTGGCTACGGGTGCCACACATGCATGTGAGTTGGGTCCAGGGCCAAGGTGAGTGCAGTGTGAAGTGAGCCCTTAAGGCATCTGCATGTTGTGCCCACGCCCCAGGTCCCCATGGCGACAACACGAGCTGTGCCCTGCAGTGCCCAGTGCTTCTTATGTGATTCCTCTGTCCACTGGTTCCGTGGCAAATGGAGAGTAATGCTGTGCTGGTTGTGGACGCAGGGCTGGGGTTGGGGAAGGGTAAGTATCAGACGGAACACCTGGAGAGGGCTCTAACGGGAGGCTGAAGCAGGCGCATCTAGTCAGCAGGTAATTGGGAAAGTTGAGAGTAATAAAAGCTACTTAATTACAGAGTACCTATTATGTGCGAGTTACTTTTACATACACTACATTGTGTTGTCTTCAGCACCCCAACCCCGCCCCCACCTGCAATACTGGGGATTGAAGCCAGGGCCTCCATGCTGAGCCATCATCCATATTAGGTTGCCCAGGCTCCAACTATCCTGCCTCAGCTTCCCAGTGTGCTGGGTGGGATTAAAGAGTGTGTGCCATTGTGCCCAGCTCCTTTCAGACTTCTTAGCCCAGATGACAATGTGGGGGAAATGGCTTTGTCCACATTGACTGTGCGAGAGCTACGGAGGAGGAAGTGTGTTGATGGTGTCGAGTTTGGTGATGGGCCTCGCCTTCGTCTGTCACTCAGTCCCGGGAGTGCAGTTCCGATGTGCTTGTCCAGCTTTGAATGCCCGAAGAACGTGCTTCTGAAGCCTGTGACCGTAGTGGCGGAGGGGTAGAAGCAGTGTGGGTGTGTGTCAGCCACATTACCAGCTGCAGTGGTAGTTGGCATTAGTTTCTAACCTGAAACTTGAGCGATTGCCTGGCAGTGTGGCAGGAACCTGGACCTGCTGGAGCTAGGTTACCGTTCAGGCTGTCACTTTCCTGGGCGTGTCCCGGGCAGCTGTGCTGTGTGCCCTAGTGACCTCAGTTACAGGGCCGGTATAGTCCCTGAAGGGCTCAGTGGTGGGGTGCACAGCTCGCAGGGCAGACTTCATTCCGCACAAATCGCGCTCAACAAATAGCAGCATTACGTATATGGATGAGGTGAGAGCCTGGAAGTTGACTATTTGGGTTAAAAAGACACAAGCTGGCTATGTGGCCTGTCAGCATTTCGAATCTAACTGGTTATGCAGCGCACGGTGCCACCTAATGACGCAGCAGCCTTCTGTCGAGCACCTGCAGAGAGGCAGTGGGAAAGCAGCCTGGGCTCGGGAGGAAAAACTTGCATTCAGATCCTGACCTTGCTCCTGACTCACGGGCACCCGTGCGCAAACCGTGGAACCTCTCCAAAGTGCGGTTCTGTTGCCCCAGTGCCTTCTGAGTTTCACTCTTCTAAACTTGTGTGATGCCAAATGCCTAGGGAAGTTGTACAGATTACATTCTTACTCCGTCTTTGGATCTTGTAGACCAAGGCGCCCCAGAATTAGGATGAGAAAAGATGACCTTGAGGTGGAAGATGGAAAGTACTTCAGAGGTGGGCCGTTCTTGCAGGAGAGCACCTGTCTTAGCATGTGCAGTCTTTGTTGGTCAGCTCTGAATGTGCAGGTCGTACTTGTAGATCACAGTAGTACCCCACCCATGGATTCACTTTCCTGTTACGATCAGCTGAGTTCAAATCCACTGTGGAGAATTCTAGAAACAAGGCGTGTGGTTCTTCCACCTTCTCAGTGTCAATCAACTGAGGTTTGAAAATATGGAGTGGAAGACTGCAGAAGTAACTGGTTCTGTATGTTTGAAAATGCGCAGCTCTGGGAAGCGTGGTGACCTTGAGCCCCTGCTCTGAGGCAGCAGGAGTGGGAGTCACCCTCTGCCTGTGGGAGTCGGTAGGAGGCGTCTCGGTTATCAGCTGCCACCATGTCGCAGGACTTGTGTGCAGGCACCGTCATTTTACTTCTTGTGGCCTCAATGATGAGAGTAGGGTCTCGGCAGAGTCTGCCGTTCGTGTAAGGGGCTGTTGCGTTCGATGCCTGCTCTGCTGGCAGCCGGTGCCAGTGCCCTGAGAGCCTGTGACGGGCGAGGCTAAGCTGTGGTGCCGTGGCTTGCATCTCTGAGGTGTTTCTGGGCTTTCTGTCCATGAGGGATTCGCCACGGTCAGTCGAGAAGTGTCAGCGTGGGAGGTTGGAAATGACTGGAAAGCACATTGTAGGAAAATTTCCAATGGCTCTCTCCAGAGAGAACTTACAGCCTTTTAAAGGCCTAGGTGCATGTCAAATAGATATATTTAATGTCAGATGTAGTGTAAATATGAGTAGTAATAAAATCAACATGGTTATTTTGTAAATCAATTAAAATTATATCAGTAGAATCCATTTTTTTAAACCTGGAAACAGTTTTTGAAGTTGTAAGGAAGTCTCCAGAAGGTGCCCATTCACTGATGGTGAGCATTTGGCGGTTACTCGTGGTGGTCCCATGCACGCACATTTATACCCCTGCCTTGTATTTGTGTGAGCCGTGCACGTGTGCATTCACAGTGTGTGTACACACACAGGTGTGTAGATGCTGCTCACATGCATCCAAGAGAAGTTGTGTGTGTCAGGTAATGCGCATGCCCCCTGACCTCTGTAGTACGCACTTCCTCAGGACCAGGCTGCTGCCTCTGTGGCTACAGTGCAGCCACCAGCCTTAGTAAACTGAAGGTTTTTGCAGCCCCACCCCCCACCCCTGTCGCGTTGACTGCATCACCGTGATGCCTCCAGCCCCTGCCCCTTCCCGCACAGGAACCAGTGTGGGCTCGCATGCTGCGCTGGTCACCATGTCTCGTTAGTCTCGGAAGAAGGCAGTCATCTGCTCCCACCTTAGGAGAGGGCTGTTCCACCTCTGGGCTTTCACAGGCTCAGTTCCTGCAGACAGGATGGGGTACTTCAGGATCATGTCTCCGACCCTGAGGCCTACCTGCCCTTTGGCTGGGGGACCTACTCTGAGGCTGAGACTCAGTCCCACTCCCTGGGCATGTGTGCCAGCTTCGTCAGGGCCTCGCCCTTGTACACAGGGTCTAAGAAGTGCTGCGTGGGCTCCCTGGAAGGCTGGCTGGAATTCCGAGGCTAACACCGCCGCCTGCCGAAGACAGTGAAGGCACAAGGTCAGCGCCACACTGGTGCACAGTGTCCAGCGTGGTCTCGCTTGTCCTGCAGTCCTGTCGTTGCCTTTCTTGGGGAGAACTTAGGATGGTAAGGTCTCCGGAGCTGCAGTGCTGGGTGCATTGCTAAAGCTCACACGGGTGTCCTCCTCAGATAAGCACCGTGCTGTCCTTGCTCACCGTATCTGTGTTTCACAAGATCTGTTGTGAGTACACCCGAGTTCTGATCTGAATGCCACCCAGAGAGGAGATTTGTTCAGCTGCTCTGCGGTGACCGGGGAGGTCTGCCCACCTCCTCCTGCCTGGAGCAGTGTGTGCTGTCACCAGGGCCTGGGCCTGCAGGAGGTGCCACAGAACCTGCTCCTCGGAATCCAGTGACCGTGGCATGGCCTGGCAGGACAGGTTCCTTTTATTTGGATAAATCCTTGAACATGTGTAGAAAACATCTGGAGCATTTCAGTGTAAAAATCATTTCTAAGTCTTCCAGTCTATGCGCGGGCATTTTGAATCAACTTGAAGCTGCTTTCTGTAAAGTGATTTTCTGATGTGTTTGCTGAGAACCGTGATGGCTGAGGACCAGCATATCCTCTCCTTTGGACCAGGTTCAGTCTGGTGTGCCCTGGCTGGGTGAAAGAAACCCTGTCCAACCCTGCTTCCCTCACCCTCGTTTGCTTGCTCAGAGCCGACCCAGAGCATTGACAGCATCAGGCAGCTTATGTGGGGAGAGGCTTCTAGTGGCTCTGATTTTATGCCATTGTTTTGCTAGGGGACCACAGCCCTCTAGAAGCTTGGTCCTGATGTGTGAGAAATGTGCGTCAGCCCACAGGTGATGGCCCATGGATGCTGCTGCTTAAGACCTTTGTTTGTACCCAGACTTCACCCCTCTGCCTCCTGTAGTCAGATGCCACACAGTGGCTAGAACAGCGTGCATTTATGATCCTAAAACCAGACTCACTGGCTGAATGTCTGCAGGGCTTCGTGCTCCTGGGACCCTAGGGGAGAATCACATCCTCTCCTCTCCAGCCACCACGTCCCTCAGCCCCGTCTCCTTCCTCCTGCTGAGCATGAGCCCCGGGAGGACCCGGCCTGGGAACCCACACCCTTGTAGAGCCACATCGCATGGTGCGAGGTGTGGTGTGGGTTTGGGGTGCATCCTTCCTTCGACCACAGGAGCCCTCGCCTCCCATCACGCGTTCTTCAGGCTGGACGCCAGAGCCTGAAGACTCCATTTGACTCATGGGCCGGAAAGGACCGAATCGGAGTCCAGTGAAACCAGCCTCACCAGACCGGACCAGTTTGGTCTCCTTCCATGTCGTTCAGGCTCCTGTTGTGTTGGAGTTTGGAACAGTGACATTGTGCTCTGCTCCGGAGCCTGTTGCGGCATTGGCTTACCCCGGCTGTCGAGGGCCCCTGGAAGGCCACTGGCTTCCCGGTCAGGGCTCCTGCTTCCCACCGTGAATGTGCAGATCCCCTGTATCCCAGACCAGCCAGGCCCAGCTTTCTCCCTGGCAATGCAGTGGAGCTCCGTTCTCTCCTTCTGAGGCTGCCTCTTGCGTGCGGGGGCCAGGGGGTTGGGGCTGAGGTCCCCAAAGGAGTTCGCTTCCCCTCTCTGCCCAAAGTTTACCCTTCTGCTCCCCCCAAGCCCTGATATCTCCCCGAATCCATTGCACACCGGAGTAGATGGAGCTGCTTCTGCGCCTGAGGATTCAGCCAACCACAGATCGAAGACATTCAGGAAGAACTTGCATCTGACCCAAATGTGTGCAGATGTTTTTCTTGTATTCCCGCAAGCGCTGAAGTATAACACTGACTTAGGTGGCATCTGTGTTGTGGTAGTAGTGGTTACTCATTTAGCAGTGACTTAAAGCAAGCCGGAGAACGTGTGTACTGTGTGTCAGCACCGCACCATGTGGAAGATCTTGGCATCTGGGGCATTTTAGAAGCACTCTGGCCACACTGGGATGAGTGTGTGCCCCAAACTGACTCTGGTCTTCCAGGGTCCTCCACATCCTGACAATGTCCTTGGGTCAAACCTGGGGGTCATCTGTGACTTTTCTTTCGTCCACCACACCCAGTCTTGTAAAAAATCTGTTAGCTCTCCCTTCAGAGACACCCACAAGCCTCTGCTCGCTGCCGCCTCCTGACTCCCACCGCCTCATCCTTCATTTCCTCCTTTCTGGGGTCTCGGGCAGTTCTCCTTGACCTGACTTGCTCTTAGGACAGGAAACAAGTGAAAAGCTGTTTCCTATGCCCGAGGGGCCGGGGCCTTCCTCATTTCCTTAGGAGTTGGTGCAGACCTTACAACACCTGCCCCACCCTCTGCGGGCCGGGGCGTGGGGCGTGGGTGTGTTCCGCTTTCCCAGGGCACACCTGGTGGACATTTGGGCCGACTGAGTCACTGGCCAGCAGGAGCCACCTGCTCCATCCTTGTGTTCTGGGGAACCCCCTGTTCTGGACTCCATCATCTGGTGTGGAGGTGGCTGTGGAACTCTGGGTCAACGTTCCACCACAGTAGTGGTGATAGAGGAGTTTTACTGATTTAAAAATAGGAATCACCTTGTTCCTGTTTTTCAGGGTCGTCAGGCTTCAGTCTTCCCCAGGAAGGGCTGAATGGCTGGATCACCTGCGGAATGACCCTCGCGGTGGGGACCTCAGGGAACTTTAGGAAGACAGGCATCTTCCACTCGTGTCACGTGGAGCTTGTGGGCTGACAACTCTCTTTGTCCATAAACTGTTGGCAGTTGAGCTAAATCATTCTTTCTTTTGAAATTCAATATCAACCATGATATTTTAACTGTTGTGATATGAGATGTGATCGAAAGATATGGTGAATGTTTATAAAACCTGTCACAGTAAAAGATATTGCTATTAATGCCCCTCAGAACGCCCCCCAACAAACACACTGTCCCGTGTCCTTGCCACTTTCTGAAGCCAGGACCGGCAGTGTTTCCCCTTCATCTTTGGGAACATATTTCACATTCCCTGGGGTTCATGCCTGAACCCCCAGATTGTATCACTCTATCTCGGTTCCCCTGTCCATATGTACCTGGCATTTAATTTATAAAAGAGACAGTAACAGCTAATGAAACAGAACAAGATTGTTAGTATTCTCTAGGAAGAGCGACGTAAGTTGTCTTCCTCACTTGCCCTCTCTTCCGCAGAGCCAAGTTGGCAGCTTCAGGATTTTCGCGTGCAGGGCCAGCGTGAGGGTCGCAGGAGGGCCACCCGCACAGCACTGTGACGGGACAGGCGCTCTGATAGCCTTGCTGCTACCAGGGGACTTGCAGCTGTGGACCTTGTGGACGGAAGGGGGCTTCACATCGGGTAGGAGTCGTCAGGTGCTTGGAAGGGTGGCCTGGGGTCCACAGGCGGCCACGGGAGGCCTGGCCCATTCTACCCAGGCTGATGCCGGGCTGGGGCCGCGCCCCACTCGGCCCTCACTCAGAAACTGGGCTTGTGGGCTTTCCAAGAAGCCACAGAAAGATTGGGCACTCAAAAAGTGGTTTGTTTTCCTTCGACAGCCACAACGCCCCATATTCTTTCATTTTTCTCGAAGTTAAACTGTAAGCATTTAAAAGCGAATTTCATTCTTAACTAGTAAAGGCAGTTGAGCCACTGCAACTAATTGTTGTAAAGCTCGAACCGGGCACCAGGTGGCAGTGTGGTCTCGTGTCTGGAGGCCCGGGGGGCCTGGAGAAGCCCTGCCGGTTTATCCCATCCGGACTAATATGTAAATTCCTCTCACAAACCCACACCTCAGACAATATCAAGCGGTGCTTTTAAATACAAACTGTAATAATCACAGCGAAGGAAGCTTTCATCTCGAGTCTAAGGGTAGATGGAAAGCGTTCTCTTCCTCCCTCAGTAGAGATCAGATAGCTGAAATAGTTTGCTTCCCGTGTGAAATTGGCTAATTACAGTGATAATGTGGGCAGGCCCTCGGGATGACTAGATACGGAGAACGAGACCGGAGTCGCATTCCTAGCTTTCATCTAGGTGATCGAGTTGTTTCAAGTGTTTCTCTAATGCCTCATAATGACGCGGCATCGCGTCTGTCTGCAGGGCTCCCCCGGTGTCCGCGACTGACAGAAGGCCGCCCGGGCCAGGTCGCGGAGCCTGGACGAGGACTTCACTGCAACAGCCATGTAAGAAGCAAAACCGCTGATGCCGCCGTCCTCGGAGCGCAGGGCGGCCCT